TTGAAATACCTTGTGGAGTAAGTTTGTGACCTAGATATTGGACACTTTCACGGCCAATCTGGCTTTTTTCTTTAGACAGCTTAAGTCCAAAATATCTTGCCTTTTCTAAGAAAGCAGCCAGTCTTTCATCATGTTCTTCTTTTGAGTTACCAAACACTAGGACGTCATCTATGTATGCACTCACTCCCTCCAATCCACAGGTTACATGGTCCATTGCTTTTTGGAAAATCTCTGGGGAACTATTCAATCCGAAAGGTAGTCTACAATAACTAAATCGGCCAAAAGGAGTAGCAATGGTGCATAACCGAAAACTATTCTCTGATAACGGTATCTGTAGAAATGCTGAAGAAGCATCCAGTACACTGAAGTATCTTGCACCATCCAACTGTGAGAAAATTTCTTGGAGCGTCGCCATTTTGTAGTGTTCCCTTTTAATATACTTATTAAGAGTTCTTGGATCAATACAAATTCTAACTTTACCATTTGGCTTCTTTGCTATTACAATCGGATGTACCCAATCAGTAGGTTCGCTTACCTCTCTTAAAATACCGTCTTTGACCATTTTATTTATCTCTTCCCTAACTGTATCATTTAAAGCTTTAGGGATAGCTCTGGCAGGAATAACTTTAGGAACTGCGGTATCTTCAAGTTTTATATCATAAACGAATGGTAATTTTCCTAGCTCATCACAAAATACATCATAAAATCTATCGTACACACTTTCACTTGGTTTAGTTATTTCATTTACTCTAGAAATGAGATTCAGTTCTTGGCATGTTTTAAGCCCTAATATGGGACAGGCATCTTCATTCACAATGTAGAATTCTGCTAAAAAATTTCTTTTAGAACCCCCCAGTGTACAATTTAGAAGGCAAGTACCTACAACTTTGATGTCATGCCCACTATAAGACTTGAGGCGTTTACCTGGAGTCGTCATGTTAGCGTCAGGAGCTATTTGTTGATAAAGCTTGTAAGGAATAACATTGACGTCGGCGCCAGTATCGAGCTTAAAAGATATGTCAACCCCATTTACGGTAATATTCTGACACCAACTATGTTTTGAGTCTACAGTGTTGACAACAATAGTTTCAATACTTAAGTCCTGACTCTCGCCACTAATTCCCATTTCATTAGGTTCAATGTCCTCATTAGATTCAATGTTATGAATGTTTTGGGCCTTACAGGCGTTTGCAAAATGATTAAATTTCTTGCATTTTATACATTTCTTTCCCCAAGCAGGACAATTTCTGTAATTGTGAGTTTTTAAACATTTAGAGCAGACTTTAACTTGTCTTTTATTTGTAATGTTACTCGAATTTGGTAAAGTAATGTTATGAATTTTAGATCCTACATTAGTTGTTTCGTCAAGTTGTGAATCAAGTTTCATTAGTTGCACTTGTTTTTTACTCTCCTCCCTAGCCGTGCAGTAGTGAATTGCTTTATCAAGTTTCAAATCACTCGTCATCAACAACCTTTCTTTACACGCTTCATCTTTAGTCCCTATTATCAATAGATCTCTTACAAGGCTTTCTTCCTGATCCCCGAACTGACATTTTTTTGCCTGATTTTTTAGACTAATTACAAATGACTGAACTGATTCGTCGGACTTTTGCCTGAGGTTAAAGAAAGTATACCTATTAATAACAGTGTTTACTTTAGGCTCAAAGTATTCGTCAAAACATTTAATTACAGTGTCTAAATTGTCTTTTTCCCCATCATCCAATTCAAAGGTGTTGAAAATGTCTAGGCAACCATCCCCCATTAAACATAGCAGTAAAGCAACTTTGATTTTCCCCGACTTTTTAGATTTTTCAGTTGCTTCCAGGTACAACAGAAATTTTTGCTTGAACTTAGTCCATTCATTTAATGTGTTGCTATTTAAATCAATAGCTGACGGAGGTTTTAAAAGGTCCATTATTCTATATAAGTTTGTATAGTACCTATACCGCTGCCACCAATGATAAAGCTTCATAAATTATATTTTATTTATTGGTACTGAACACTGGTTTTTAATAGAACTCACCATGAAAACTCCAAAACTAACATAAACACAACAAACAATAATAATAATAAATATTACATCATCTGATTTAAGACAGAATAAATGTCACATGTCACAGTTTCAACCTGCTAGGAGGTCATCATCAGGTGAGTACAAGGATGATATTACTTCATATGAAGGTCGTCAGTAACAGTTTTTTCACATTCACACAAACACACGACGAATAAACACATAGTGCGCACACATATACGGTCGATAAAAACATTGAACTCGACAAGCGGACCCGTGTTGATAATGCGGAAGTTGCGTCTAGACTGTAGGGTAAACAGCTGGTCAAGCATCACACGCATTTTCTTATCGCTCGTCGGTTCCATTCCCATTGTCTCTGCCCTCCCCTTCCCTCTCCAGTATTTCTATTGCAGTGTTGTACATGACGTTTGAATTAAAATAAAGTTGGTCGTTTAAAACATTATCCATGTCTGATTTGACGGCTCTATATATCTCGAATTCTTCCAGGGTGTTAATTTTAAACTTGTCCTGTGACGTATGTAAAATTTCCATGTTTTCATTAATGCTGCTGTAATTATGCTGATGAGTAATTAAATGTTCAGCAAAGGTTGAAGTTTGTTTTGAGGTGGTCTTCTTTGGTATGTGCTCCTTAAAGCGTTTGGAGAAAGAGCGGGAAGTTTGGCCTATGTAATACTTATTACAATCTGAACAGTTGATACAATCCTAAAATCCTATGGGAAGGGATGGAAAGAGGTCCGCGACGTAGGAAGTGGTGAAGGAAGTAGTAAAGGCGAGCAGTCTGGAGTGTGAAAACTGTTTATGACGATTAGATTAAGGAATCTGCAATCCTAAAATGCTATGGGAAGGGAGGGAAACAGGTTCACAACGTAGGAAGTGGTGAAGGAAGTAGTAAATGTGAGCAGTCCGGAGTGTGGGAACTGTTAATAACGATTAGATTAAGGTATCTACAATCCTAAAATGCTATGGGAATGGAGGGAAACAGGTCTGCGACGTAGGAAGAGGTGAAGGAAGTAGTAAAGGCAAGCAGCCCGGAGTGTTGGAACTGTTAATGACGATTAGATTAGGGTATCTGCAATCCTAAAATGCCATTGGAAGGGGGAGAAACAGGTCCGCGACGTAGGAAGTGGTAAAGGAAGTAGTAAAGGCGAGCAGACTGGAGCCTGGGAACTGTTTATGGGTACTACATTAAGGTATCTACAATCCTAAAATGCTACGAGAAGGGAGGAGAGGAAAACAGGTCCATGACGTAGGAAATGGTGTAGGAAGTAGTAATGCTAGCAGTGCAGAGTGTGGGAACTGTCTGTGGCATTTATGTATCTGCAATTCTAAAATGGTATAGGGAAGGAGGGCAAACAGGTCCACGACGTAGGGAGTGGTGAAGTAAGTAGTGAAGGTAAGCAGTGTGGAGATTGGGAGTGGATTAATGTATCTGCAATACTTTTCAGAGTAAAGTAATTATTTTCCCCGAGCAAAGCTCGGTCCCCAGGTACTTAGAATATTATTTGTTTAGTTTTTGTTGGTAAACATTCTGAATCTTGATTTATTGTAAAAGCTACCTAATAAAGTATTTGTCTTATTAAAACTATATTTTAATTTAACTTACGGTAACACTACATTTTGTTTGGGAGAGTAGACCATAAGGCCTCTCAAAATTATGTTCTAAATGTTGTATTGCGGTTTGAAGGTGTTGGCCAGCACACTGTCACACCTGATGTCTGTGGGAGACTCAGACATGCTGACATCACTGGTGTTTTGTTTGGGAGAGTAGACCATGAGGCTGGCCTCTCAAATGTTGTATTGCTGTTTGAAGGTGTTGGCCAGCACACTGTCACACCTGATGTCTGTGGGAGACTCAGACATGCTGACATCACTGGTATTTTGTTTGGAAGAGTAGACCATGAGGCTGGCCTCTCAAATGTTGTATTGCTGTTTCTAGGTGTTGGCCAGCACACTGTCACACCTGATGTCTGTGGGAGACTCAGACATGCTGACATCACTGGTGTTTTGTTTGGAAGAGTAGACCATGAGGCTGGCCTCTCAAATGTTGTATTGCTGTTTCTAGGTGTTGGCCAGCACACTGTCACACCTGATGTCTGTGGGAGACTCAGACATGCTGACATCACTGGTGTTTTGTTTGGAAGAGTAGACCATGAGGCTGGCCTCTCAAATGTTGTATTGCTGTTTCTAGGTGTTGGCCAGCACACTGTCACACCTGATGTCTGTGGGAGACTCAGACATGCTGACATCACTGGTGTTTTGTTTGGGAGAGTAGACCATGAGGCTGGCCTCTCAAATGTTGTATTGCTGTTCCTAGGTGTTGGCCAGCACACTGTCACACCTGATGTCTGTGGGAGACTCAGACATGCTGACATCACTGGTGTTTTGTTTGGAAGAGTAGACCATGAGGCTGGCCTCTCAAATGTTGTATTGCTGTTCCTAGGTGTTGGCCAGCACACTGTCACACCTGATGCCTGTGGGAGACTCAGACAAGCGGTTGTTGACGTCACTGGTGTTTTGTTTGGAAGAGTAGACCATGAGGCTGGCCTCTCAAATGTTGTATTGCTGTTTTTAGGTGTTGGCCAGCACACTGTCACACCTGATGCCTGTGGGAGACTCAGACAAGCGGTTGTTGACGTCACTGGTGTTTTGTTTGGAAGAGTAGACCATGAGGCTGGCCTCTCAAATGTTGTATTGCTGTTTTTAGGTGTTGGCCAGCACACTGTCACACCTGATGCCTGTGGGAGACTCAGACAAGCGGTTGTTGACGTCACTGGCGTTTTGTTTGGAAGAGTAGACCATGAGGCTGGCCTCTCAAATGTTGTATTGCTGTTTTTAGGTGTTGGCCAGCACACTGTCACACCTGATGCCTGTGGGAGACTCAGACAAGCGGTTGTTGACGTCACTGGCGTTTAGTTTGGAAGAGTAGACCATGAGGCTGGCCTCTCAAATGTTGTATTGCTGTTTTTAGGTGTTGGCCAGCACACTGTCACACCTGATGCCTGTGGGAGACTCAGACAAGCGGTTGTTGACGTCACTGGTGTTTTGTTTGGGAGAGTGGACCATGAGGCTGTCTCCTCAAACCCTGCTCACAACCAAAAATAACTCTTGCCTTCTGCTATCCATATTTAAGGTATGTAGGGTGCCTGTACCAGTGAATGACCGTATTGTGTAAGAAATTTTATACAAGATTTCTGGTTTGTCTTGTGAACCACGCCCTCGCAGGTGCCTTAGAAGGTGGCAAATTAGAAGAATATGTCAAAATTCTAATTTATGAAAAAAAGGGTGAAAAAATGGATATAAAAGAAGAGCTGCAAATATACCTACACTAAAAAGAATACGGCGACCAAATTCTCAATGTAATGCAAAAACAAAAGCAAAATCCAATACATGAAAAAATCAGACAAATCAGGGAAGAATCTTGCACATTTACATGTTAAAAAATACACCTAACCATTTAATCAAAAATTAATATGAATTCAAAACATATGTTATTAACTATTTATTTATTTTATTTGTTTACATACTTTTATATAGCTCGTACTGTGATCATGGCCTTAGTGCCAAAATACGTATCAGTTTAAATAAAAATGAATTTCAGGGTACTCTGGTTTTTATTATTTCGCTTATTAATATATATTTAATATATATTTATATATGTGTGTCCGTTAGCGCGATAACTCGAGCAAAAATGATCCGATTTTGATGAAATTTGGTACAAGCGTGTAAACCTACGTTTATTCGACCGAGTTCGCGATCCAGCATAATCGGACCATGGAAACGGGGGTTTATAGGGGGTTTTATGGGGTAAAAATGGGTTTTTCCCATTTTTGACCCCAAAAAACAAAAAGATTTTGCAATTTCTTTCGAAACCATTTTGTAGAGCTTAAAAAAAGAAATTATTTAGTATATTGAAGTGCTGTTGTATGCCTAACGGTCACGGAGAAAATTCAAAAAAAGTGTAATTTAAAATTCTCATGTTATTATTATGGAGAAAATGAAACTTGTTGTAGTTTACTTGTTTATGGATATACATTGATAAAATTTAGCAAATTATTTATTTCATCCTATACTATTGACATATGGTCATAAAACACTTTTTTTACCTTCCCCGTAGCAGCAAACCTAAGCACTCGTTAAATCTAATGTTATTTAAATAAGGGAATAAATATGTCTTATTTATGGAAATATTTTAGTAAAAATGTAATCAGACAAGTTGAAATTCGCTTAGTCTGAAGGTTTGCTGTGGCGGGGGTATTTTCCTTTTTGTTGGTAAAAAAAAAAAAAAAAACAATAATATACAGATTTACATTAGAATCATAAATGTTGCTTACAAAACAAAGTCAGGTTGTCGTTGAGGTTATTCCACTTCATACAAAATATTGATTAAACACAAAATTTTTTTTTTGTTGTTATTTAGGCCTACTTTACAATCTGTTCTATTATATATTGAACAATAAGTAAATACTTTGTAATTCGAAAAATTGACTTTGGAACATTAAAAATAGCTGTTAACCACTCTCAACAACAAATTTTTCAATAAAAACTCTTTACAAAAATCTGAAGGGCAGGTCCAGAATTGATGGCCTCTTAAGTCTGTAAATTGTATCCATGTTGTTTAATAAGTTAAGAGCTAAATGATTTTGATGAGATTCCAATTTCGTAATATATTGTTCACTTATGGTCATGATTTCGTCCTTAACTGTAGGCATCTTAAGGTCTTGATGTAACACTAAAATAAATCTCAAATTTTAAAGTGTTAGTAAATATACAAAAAAGTGTATAGTAAATATTTAACATATGTTTTGAAATCAAAACGAAGCAGAAGTTTACCTCTTAATCTTGAATAATTTATTCGTTTATCAAAGAAGTTATTAGTCAGTGAGGTTATTTCATGTTCCTTCAAAACAACAATAACCTTCAAATTAGAAGAAAAAACTTCATGATTTTTTCAGTCATTGTAAGTTAAATTCCTTTGATTTGAGCCATCTCCTATGATTCTACTACTTATCGTACGCTTAACTAATTAACTTAAAAATACTGTTTCTTCATAATATTGCCAAACGGCTAAATCATTTTCCAAAATAAACTTATCACACACTTTTTAAATAAGTTCTATATTTCGGCATAAGCCTTCTTCAGGAACAAACAAACAATCATTAACATTGTTTGTTTGTTCATGAAGAAGGCTTATGCTGAAATACAGAACTTATTTAAAAAGCGTGTGATAAGTTTATTTTGGAAAATTACTTAAAAATACATGAGTTTGCGAATTTCATAGTAAAATAATTGATTTCAACATTCTAAGGTAACATTATCCCTAGTTTTATATAGTATACAGCACATTGCAGAATTGACTGGCAAATGAGTTTAATCCAAATGTAATACAGTAGACTCCCTCTTATACAGACTCCTCTGGACCGAGGCCAGTCCGAATAACGGTTTTTCCGGTTAAACCGACATCCCCAAACACCCGTTAAAACGGACCGTTTGAACGCATACTGTATACAGTATTTGACTTAAATTTAGGAGATCATTGTATTTAGATACGTGATCAGTGGTCTCAAATCTTTCCTACGAGAACAGTCGATTCAGTACCGCCCACTTCCTGCCGATCTAGTCCGGTTAAACCGATGTGCTGATAGAAATTGTCCGGTTAAAGAGATGTCATTTCCCCCGAATGTAGTCCGGTTAAACCGATGTCCGGATAAGAGGGAGCCTACTGTACAATATTGCTTACTGGTTTGACGATAAATCACAATCAGCTGTATTGAAGTAAAAAAATCAGCAGTAAATGGCTTCTAATGCTATCCTTATGGAGAACATTTTATGTTATATCTAATTTTGTGTTAACATTTTGGGAATTTCACTATTTTTCCTGCCGTCGTGGGATCGAGACATTTAATTTGAGCCCTCCCCCGTCGTTCTACTACTTCCCAGTTGCCCAGAATTTTGACGCAAAGAATCGGCTTACGTAATTAATATATAGATACCAAATCAATTAACACAATGAAACTCTCAGCTGTCCTTGAAATTCGGATCACATCATTTGTCCGAGTTTTCAGTTGTCCCAGGTTCATTTGTACGAGGTTTGCTTAAATAAATAATTATATTTGGCTATTTCAACTGTCCGAGCTTTCATTAGTCCGAGTTTTCAAGTGTACGAGTATCATCAGCGCCAAAAGTAACTCTGCCGCCGAGCCGCTAAGACAGTCCGCGCAAGAAGCAATCATACCGCCACCGTGCTCGCCATCGCACAGACAGGATAGGTTAGGTAAGGTTTTGTTAGGTAAGGTAAGGTTAGGTTAGGTTAGGTTATATTAGGAGTCCTACTGTTTTAATGTAATATAAATATTATATAATATTATCATAAAATTAACCACTAAACGTGCTGCGTAATTGAAATACCTGCTTTAATTACCGTTAAACCAACCTCGGACAACTGATTTTGTAATAACCTTGGACAAATGAAAACTCGGAGAGTTGATTTAATTAAATATTATTAGTTATTTATCAAACCTCAGACAAATGAACCTCGGACAACTGATTTTCTTAATATTTTGCAATTTTTATCAAACTTGGACAACTGAAAACTCAGACAAATGAACTCTACCTTGAAATTTACCAGTTCAGAAAATTTCTAAAATTTACCTTTCTAAGTGCATTTAATATAGATTTACATTTGTAATAATTACCAAGTTAGGGGCCACCTAAAAGAATAAATTTATAACAAATAATAAATGTTGTGCTTAAAAATAGTTAATAATGATAAATCTTATAGTCCTTGGTGGCAACAGAAATGAAAATAGATTAATAAATATAAATATATCAGCGGCTTGTTGGGACAGAAGTCCCTAAAAAGCTCAAATGTAAAACAAATTATTGTAATATTTAAACAAACTAAGAATCAAATAGTGGCGGCTAGTGTGTATGTTCACAGGTTCAGTGAACGCATGGATGATAAAACAAACAAAAATAAGCAAGTAGTGCATAAAACCACTAACATGTTGATTTTTTACAAAATAATCCACCAAAACTATTTTTGAAATCGGGAATAAAGCTTTGGCATCGAGCGTCATGGCGAGGTTCTCACACGCAGTGTGAACCTTCCTAGCAGGCAAGGGGGGAGTGGGGTGAGGAGAGGGGCTTGTTTAAACTAAAAGGCAGAATCGCAAACTTTGATTGCTAATGCGTCGCCGAGCTCTGGCGATGTTTCCCAAACACTCCCGATCGGAACAGTAGTTCTATAATAAGTCGCTTAACCATTTAGCAGCACCGTACGGCTAGATTGTCTGAACTGTCACTGTCAGCCATTGCACGCCACTATATTATTTATGATTTATATCGAAGTATAGGTTATGTTCGTTGCAGTATTCTAATTGTTATTTGGAACTGTGGTAATGCTTTAAAATTTGATTATAAGTGTTTGCAGAAATGAACAAGGTTAAATTCTTATTGAAAAACAACTTTTCAACTCTTTCGCTGGAAGACAAGTGTTCCATTAAAGAACTTGGAAGACCAAAACCTGTGTTAAACTTGGCCCAAAAACAAAAAGTTAAAGGTTGTGAGTACACTTGAAGTTTTAATACTGTAGTTAGATTTATAATAGAAATTCTTGGATTTGTGGTTGTGATGTCTTGAACAAAATTGTTTGCTTTCCTTGTATCTTGTTTTCTCAAGGGAAAGATACTACCTGGACAAAAAATGGAGTCGATGATTTATGCCACCTCACTAAAAATCTAAAAGCACATAGAATCTCCCATTCATACAAATGCATGTCTTAATCTTTCCATTCTAGGCCGTACAGAAATAAGACAACAGCTAAATGAGGCTTATAAAACAAATATTGGCAAACAAAATGACATAGTTAGAAAAAATCGTTACGTTTTATCAAAAATAATAGATTGTATTCGATTTTGTGGTGAATTTGAACTTGCTCTTCGTGGCCATGATGAGAAATCAGATTCATCAAATCCAGGAATATCATGGCTTAGTGCACTTTTCTGCTACCCTTGACAGTATCATTAAAGAGCATCTTCAAACTGCTACTGTTTTTAAGGGCACCTCCAAAGAAATTCAAAATGACCTTTTAGAGTGTATGTTGCATGTTTGCCAGGAAAATATCCTGCCAGAGATTCGTGCTGCAGATTATATTGCAGTGATGGCAGACGAAACCATTGATGTATCAACAAAAGCCCAAATGGTTGTGGTTTTCCGGTATATCCTTGGTAATGGATATCCAGTGGAGCGGTTTTGGACTTTCCTCAATCCACCGCAGGCTGATGCAGAATCCCTGTCTAACTGCATAAAGCAAGTTTTGGCCAACGTTATTGGGGATGATAAAGAAAAACTTGTTTGCCAAAGTTATGATGGAGCCAATACTATGAGTGGCCAGCATTCTGGGGTCCAAACATGAATAAAATAAGATTATCAAAATTCACATTTTGTCCACTGTTATGGCCACCAGCTGAACCTCATGACACGAGCTGCAAATCGAAACCGCGAAGTCAGAATATTCTTTGCTAACGTACAAGAGATTTTTACTTTTTTTCTCATTCATCTCAGAGAACGAATGTGTTACAGGAAATTGTAGGCAAAAACAAACAAATACAAACAAATGTTGTTTTTGGCTTCCTTCCGGCTCATCCACTAGATGGAATTATAATATTAGATCTGTATCCACTATACAGGGTGACCCAGACCACCCAGCCGGCTTCTATAGCTCCAATATGAAAGTAAATAGAAACCTAATTGCAACTGGAACCCCCTATTTTGACCCCAAGGAATTCAGCTAAATTATTTTCAAACCCAAAAAATCACCCCAAAGGGCATATTTTGGGGGGTGGAGGTGGTTTTTGGGAAATTTTCAAATATAAAGGGGAGCCGTGTTATATCTCAAATTAAAGCTCTTTGAGTCCTGAGTATTTTAGTGGAAAAAGTTTTAAAATATTTTCATTCCTATTTACAGGGTGTTCAAAAACGTACAGAAAATAGACCTTTGAACTACTTTTCATTGCAAGGAGGTGGAATTTTGTGGGGGTTCAAATTTTGATAACACTTTAATTACTAAATGAGCTTTCAAAAAACTCTGGTTTCAACCCTTTCCCTAATTTTTTACTTATGTTATGCACTTTCAAACTTTTTGAAGTTTCAAAAGCTATTATCTCAAAAACTTAAAATGGCAACATGGTTTTCATTACAAACCACATTGTAGCCCTTAAAATGAGCTACAATTTTTGTATTTAATGTTTTGTTGAAGTATTGTCAAACTCCAGCAACAAACACATTGCAGATGACACGGGAGCGTTTTTGAAGTGTTCACTACGCATGTGCTAGGCCATGGATGTTTGGGAAAAATATATCTCGGACGTGTGGTGTGAACGGTCTCATTTGATAGCATGGGCAGCGATTTGTTTAAACTAAAACGTATCAAACGTCCAAGACGCAGGTGTGAAAAGGCCTTTTGGATAACTCTTTGTCCACTGATCAATACGATACCACAATAGACTTGCCACATGATAGAGACAACTGGAACATATTAAAATATGTAACGGACTTCCGCAAACACGCAATCTACAATGTTCAAACTTAATTTTTCTGGTTGATTTCTTCCTCCTTAAAAGATAATCTAGATAATTGACGATCTCGATGATTGGAGTTTGAGCAATCGGAGTAACGCTAAACACAAATATTTAAACTTTATATTTTTGTTTACTTTTCAGTGTTTCTGATGAACAATATTGTGTCTAATGTTACAGGTTTTGACTGATCTGTCAGAGGGAGGTCGCAATAGGACAAGTAGTGTAGTCGGAGGTTCCTTCCACCCAGACTTGGTACAAGAGTTCAACCCGAACATACAGCTAGACAATCTCAAACAAGATGAACACATGGTGAAGATGGGCCGACGAACATTTACCAACTCTCCTCCTCATATCAACTCTCCAGCTCATTCCATTCAGCTGGCAGCCAAGATGGTAATATACACAACCGTCTTCTGAGAATGAAAATATGCCTGATAATGATTTCTATTTAGTATTTAGTGAATGTTATCAGTTATCAAATCACATCAAATCAAAACATCTTTATTTTCCTTACATGCACATGGGTACAAAAATAGTGTCAAGTATAAAGTACTAAACTAGCTTAAAGATATAAATACATTTTAAGTATGAATAGGTATTTATTCAATGAGTTCCTCCATTGTATAAGGCGCCTTTTCTATTAAATGTTTTTTTTTTTTATTTAGATTTAAATAATTTATAATTTGATTCCTCCTTTATAGAGGCAGGCAATTTCCTTAGAATTAGTGATCCAGCAAAAGTTGGTTTTTTTTTTAGAATTCCAGCTTATAGGTTGAAGTTACAATATCCTTTTTATGTCTTGTATTGTAACTATGTGGCACAACTGGCTCATATTTTAGGCTGTCTCTTTTAGCTATACATGCTATTTCAAAAGTATACGCTGCAAAAACTGTTAAAATATTTAGATTTTTAAAGTGAGATTTAACTGATTCATCTTTTTTAAGGTGTAACATAGTTCTAATGGCTTTTTCTTGCATGATTAGAATTTTATTTAAATTTTTAATCGTAGTTGCCACATATAGTCCAATGCCATAGTTTATGTGAGAATGAATATGGGCAAAATATATTTTTTTAAGTGCATCTAAATTGCACAAATAAGACATTCTTTTCAATGCGTACACTCCAGAATTAAGCTTTTTTAATAATTTTTCAACGCGTTTATTCCAACTTAGATGTTCATCTACATAGAGACCTAAAAGTTTGGCTTCAGAAAGTTGTTCTATTGATTCTGAATCAATGATCAAATTGGGTTCAAGTTTCTGTTTACTTTGTTTAGTCGAAAAGGACATAAAGTTTGTTTTTGTTGTATTAAGATTCAAATTATTATTTTTTAGAAATTGTTGTATATTATACAATTCTACAAAGGCCGAAATTTCCAACTCCTCTTCACTTTTCCCCGCCACTGTTAAATTTGAATCATCTGCATATAAACAAATCTTACTCTTTTGAGGATTAACAATACTTTTAGGCAATTCTTTTATATAACGTAAAAACAAAATTGGTCCCAAAATTGAACCCTGTGGCACCCCCCACTTAATTCTACGTTTATGAGAGTTAAATGTAGTTAAATAATTGTTTTTGTTTGATTTTATTTCAACAAATTGCATCCGACCATCCAAATAAGATTGAAACCATTTTAAGGGGACTCCCATTATTCCAAGACTTTCCAGTTTCTCTAGCAAAATTGAACGACAAACACTATCAAATGCTTTACAGAGATCCATGTATATCCCTAGAACATTTTCACCGTTTTCAATTGATTCTACGATGGACTCAATGAAGTCAGTAGCTGCTGTTATTACTGATCTTCCATTTCTGAAACCATGTTGAGAATTATCAAATAACTTATTTGATTCAAGATAACAGGGGTGCCCACAAGGGGGGGCCGTGACGCAGACTGCGTCATTGAAATTCTTGGGGGGGGCTCAAAAAATTCAAATGGGGGGGGTCGGCTAAAGTTAATTGCAACAGTGTTCAACATGACGACAATCCAAAATACATTACGAAATCGCCAGATACAAAGTGGATAATTAATGACAATAGTTATATTATTGAATTAAATTAGTTAGGATTTTAGGATAGTTTAGGATTCGTGTAGAAAGTTATTATTTAAGATTAGCAAGACGTGAGATCTAAGAGAGGGAGCGCACGGGATGGCTTAACTGCTGTGATAGATAAAAGATAACGCGTGGTACAGACACATCCAGCTACACCGCGACTTAAGCACAGCAGAACGCTTTGTTGACATAAAGCTCGTTAAAATACAATCAAGTAGCAAGTAGCATAGGCTACAATACTTTACACTATTGTGTATACTCGATTACCTGAGTTATTAGGGAGAGGGGGGAATGAAAAATACGGTTAATCCAATATAGTATAAAAACATATGACAAACTCATTAAAACGCTGTAAACAGCCAATAAGTCACGATTTACATTTTTATAAACGAAATTCAATATTGCACAATCATTATTATTGTAAATTTCAAATTATTTATCTTGGTTCAGTTGTACAAACGGCAACGTTTAAAATTGTAGCTAACTCAAACTCAACTAATCACTGGCCAAACATTACATTGCTATAAATAACGTAAATATTAAAGGAACCTTTCGAAAGTGTTATAAGGTACTGCTCATGATAAACAGATAGGCTACCGATAGGTGCTGTGTCACAGCATAGGAATTGATAGATAAGTAATAAAAAAGTGTAAAATTATATTTAGAGATAATTAAAACACTCTTAAAAAAGAATGTAAAGAGAACAATCTTGTTATTCTCTTTCTTTGTTCTTCTGTTCATTAATAGGTTTCTCTTCAATTCATGCACACATTAAACAAGTCGCCATATTTAGGCCTACTCATTGGCCAATCACAGCTTTACTAAGTTACCATGGTTATCACTCAATCACAGTTTACTAAGCATTATATCGTCATCATTCCCCAGCTGTTGTATCTGAAATCTGTTGTAACATAGCGCACAGCAGACAGAAGTGTATAACGGAGCAGACGATCGTTGGCGCAAGCCTTGTTTCCATTTCATTTTCATCAAAGGAGCTCTGATGTTTCTAAAGGGAGGGAGAGGGGATCGTTATATCGAGAAAGACGCTGACAATTCGTTATGGATATTCTGGTAATAAAAGATTCCTTAAAATGAGGTGACTTATAATACTCTAATTTTATTTATATAGAAAGATAAGTTTTCCAGTCCTGTACAACACTGATTCACGGTCTTTTCCCGGTAATCAAAATTCAAGTACAACTTGATAAACACAGAATCTCCGGTTCCCGACCTGGATGATGGCTAGTTATTTAATTTAATTTACAGTTACATATTAGTACTCGTGATAAATCAAACCCGTTATGTAAGCCAAAGCCACACGGTTATTAATCTCACTTGGTTTTGGATTTGCTTACAAACGTGATCGGAAATGGTCAGGGCCTACACAGTATTCTTAAAGAACATTTATGTAAACATATCAGTGACAGCTAGGAAAAGGAATCTTTATCAAAACAGCTGTTCGTAATTTCATATGACGTGTTCTCTTAACAGATGATTAGTATTTCATAAATTAATGACGTATGTAGTAAACATGGAGAAAATAAACTAGAAAAATCACACAAAATTGTATTTTTGATCGTCCGTTATTTTATTTCCAAAATAGTGAGGCCATATTTTAATGGCTATAAGGACTCTCTCGCCAATCCTGTGGATACACTTAAACCATTAGAATCATAATCGGTACTCTAGTTTCTCTAGTTTTCTTCAGAGTAGGCCATGAGTAGGCTAAATAAAATGCCTTCTGGGCCGTGACAGACGGACATAAATGGAGATAAGACATGTTTCAATAACTCAATAACTCATTTATTTAGCTAGATTAACATTACAAATGCATAAGCCAAGTCAAATTCACAAAAAATAACTATTTAACTAACTTCAAAATCAACATTTTAACTTCAGTTTCAGTTAACAGTTTCAACTTCTTCAATGTATAAAACATAAATAACCCAAAATATGTATAATTCTGAGCAATGTACAGACAAAACTATAACTTTATTGATATAGATTAACTGGGTTTGAATTTTAAATATAAAAACAAAAATATAAAACTTCTTTTATAGTTTTACAAATAGTGCTGGGCGGGGGAATAATGTTTCTCATTTGTTGTGTACATCATTTATGGGGGGGGGGCCTGTTGCTCAATTGGGGGGGGGGTGCGTCATGAGTCTAGGGGGGGATGGGCACCCCTGAAGATAATCTACCAATCTAATGTACATTGCTTTCTCGTATACTTTTGATACAGCAGGGAGCAATGAAACAGGTCTATAGTTAGATATTTCAGTAACTTCGTTTTTTTTATGTAAAGGAATTACCTTTGCAATTTTTAGTTGATGCGGAAATAAGCCAGACACAAAAGAGGAATTCACCAAATGTACAAGTGGCTTTACTAAAAGGTTCCCTACATATTTTAATAATTTAGTTGGTATATCATCATAACCACTAGACATTTTATTCTTAAGTGAACCAATAATTCTTTCCATTTCCTTATCATCTACAGGAGTGCACTTAAATATCCTACTTTCAAAAAGCCCTTTTGTTTTATTTACATCGCTAACTTGATTAGTTGTTCCTCCATTTTTATCTAAAGGTTGCCTAACACTAAAGCTATCTACAACATCTATAAAGTAATTATTAAACATGTTTGCAACATAAGTAGGATTTTCAATTAGTTCATCATTCAGTCGAAGACTAATATTCTCTGAGTAAGTGTTTTTTTGTTTGAAACTTCATTATTAATTATTCTCCATGTGGTTTTGTTAATGTTACTTGAATTATGAATTTGGAAATCAAAAAACTTCTTTTTACCCTCAGTAATTTTTTTATTTAATATTTTTTTTCTTTTATTTAGTTTAGAGAAAGTACATTTATTTTGTACTTTTCTAGCTATTCTACTCATTTTTATATTTTCCTGTTTTTCTTGTTTAATTTCTGGATTTATCCAGGATTTCTTTGTGTTGTAAATTTTGATAAGTTTATTTTCAAAACATAAATTGAAATAGTAAATTAACGTTTTGTGAAAAATATTGTATTTTTCTGTTACCGGTGCTAAATAAACATCATTCCAGTTTTCCTTTTCCAGCATTTGATAAAATTGGAGCTTATTTTCTTCTGAGAATTGTCGGGATTTTTTAAAAATGTAATTGTTTTTTATACATTTATCTAAAATATTTATTTCTAAGATTTGTCCATCGTGATCTGAAAGCTCAGTTATGACTCCTGTGGTCTTTAATTCATGGGTTGGAATGTTTGTTAGAATGTTATCAATAGCCGTTACTGAGTTAGCTGTGACCATTGTTGGAAAATTTACTAAAAATTTCAAACCGTGAGATTTTAACAAATTATCAAAATCCTTGCTTTGTTTGCTGTTTACTAAAACATTTATATTAAAATCTCCTACTATTACCACCTTTTTGTTTTTTGATAACACATAGTCACATAGAATACCTAATCGACTTAAAAATGCATTAACACTACTTGCAGGTGATCTATATATACCAACCAAAAGAATTTCATCCCCTACAAAAAAATATTTTGAACAACAGAACTCAAACACTTTTTCTTCCCTTAACACTTCAATATTAGCATAGTTCACCTGCTTCCACTTTAAACCAAGCTTAGATAATATCAAAACACCTCCACTTTTAAATTTTTCCCGAGTGTAATCTGAATTTATCATAAAACCGTTTAAATTAAATCTGCTCAGCTCATCAGATTTCATGTTATGCTCTGATAAAACTAAAATGTCAGGTTTAATCTCATCTAGAACTATCTCTAACCCCTCTACTCTTGATACCAAATTCTGAATGTTTTGGTGAAAAATTGTAATTTTTTTATTTTTTACCATGACCGAATTATGCTTATTGTTCCCACCTAAGTGAACATCTCTACGCCTTAAGTTTCCCGAGAAGCCCCCCCCAAACCTAAGTTTAAAGCCAAAGCAGGTGTTCTTCTCTGCTCCTTAAGACTACTTGTACACTGGCTTTCTATAAAATTTACAATTTGATTATTTTGCTTATCCCCCCCCCCCTCACTCACGACCCCGTTACTCTGCTTTTCACCCCCCTCACTCACAACCCCGTTACTCTGATTTTCACCCCCCTCACTCACAACCCCGTTACTCTGCTTTTCACCCCCCTCACTCACACCGATTTCTTTTCCACTTCCATGAACACCAATGCTAAGGAGCTCTGTGTTGTCAGGCAGAAGTAGAGGCCGAGACATAGGAGTCACCGCTTTCACTGAACTTGTTTGACTGGCAGGCAGGATCTGCGATGTGGTTTGCAAGTGTTGGTGGGCAATCAGATTACTTCTCACCTTGAATCCAAATATTTGTAGTCAGCTGTGTCAATTTTTCAAATTCTATTAAAAACTAGGACTGTGATTAGAAACTTCATTGGAAATCTTTTCATTTAACAAATTTCAAATATAATTACTTTATCTTAAGGTAACTAATTTTAAATACCACAACGAAATATCCATGTACTGTGATGCTGCAGGTGGTGATGCACCTGTTGAACCACCTAGGCCACTTCCCTCTGGCCATCGGAGCTGCTCGGCTCAGCTCTCTGGTGGTGGAGCATGATGACGTGCCAGCCATGGCTGCTGATCAACTGTCTGCTCAGGTCTTCTCTGCCCCCAACATACAGGTAGGCCAAAAGACACTAGTCCCCATTAGTACAAATATTATTTAAGGTTATTAAAAGTGAAAATTGTCTAAATAACAATTAGGAAATTAGTACCTCCACTGTTGATACTGCAGATTGTGAGTGCTTTAGAGTAGAATGTGAGATCCTCTAGTGCAAGGGTCTCCAACCTACAGCCTAGGGACCGGACATGGCCTGCGGGTTGTAGAAGATTTTATCCGGCCAGCAGAAAGCCAGCACAGGCTACCCAAAAAATTCTTTTTGATAGCAAATACCGGTGATCTTCTTCCAGGATCACCTAAACACCTTTGTTCTGGCGGTCTCAGCGATACCATGATCGTTTCCCAGCTTCCCTCAATCAAGACAACACTTGTCTTGTAAGCATATCTTAGGACCTCAGCAATAACGTGACCTAGAGACCCGTGATTACGGCAACACTCGTCACCAGTGATCGTTAGAACACAGAATAGACTTCTTGTACACAGACACAGGGTATTTTACCTGTAGAACTTCACATACCCGGCTATCAGTACTGTGGACCTGGATTGAATTTAAGGAATAGATTAACAAGAGGTGATCCAGGCATAAATAAATTGGATGCTGCATGCAAAAACCACGATATAGCATACTCAAGATCGAACTATAGTAAAATATACACAGATACCCTTTTGGTGGTTGTGCAAACTTAGTGCATTTTATGATTTTGAAAATTGTTAGTGTCCCCAAAAAATGAGGGATTATGGGCTCAACTGGAGATTACTCTATATATAAGATATGTTAACCTTTAAACATTTACATTACTAATTTAATTTTGAATAGTATGATTTAAATTGGCATTCTGTTAATTACATTTTTTTTACCCGCCCTTATGATAGTGTGTATCTGGATCCGGATCCGGATCCGGTACCGACATTTTCTTGGATCCGCCCATCACTAATATATAAATATATACTTTTGCACCCACCCGGAGTGGCAGTCACTGCGCTGGTAATTTACTCGGTGTGGCAGTCACCCGCCCGAAAGCCAGTCAGCTCTCCCATAAGCCAGTCAGGTATGGCTTCCCGTGCACTTTATACGTATGAAAACAGCTTAACCGGTGCTGCTGCCTGTGTCGATAAGCGTAACTGCAATACCAATGTGGAGACTGTCTCATCGTGTGTTCTATCGTGGAGTAGTGTAGCCAAGTACAGCACCCTCCTTGCCTACTTTGTAGCGGTAACACCCAGCGGTCTGTAACCTTCGTTTACTCCTTGTTACTATTTATGTTGGGATAGTGATTAACTACGTGTTAATGTTTATTTAAACATGTTCATATTCCAAATAAATATGATGCACCTCTAATAAGGAACGTTGAATATTAATTAATTATAAATGGTTGAATCTTGATCCTACCCATTATAGTCTTAGTCATAGTCATAGTTCTTTATTCATTTTTTTTGTACATAGTTTGTACAGTAAATAAATAGCGTCATATATAATACAATACTAAATCTAATTAAAATCTAATATTTACAATTTACCAAGCAAAAATGAAAAGTAATAACAAAAATATTTATATCTACAGTAGGTTATATCTGGGAGGTGGAAAATTCTTCTATGGAGTAAGGGGCCAGTTGTATCAAATATTCTTTCAGCAATTTCCTGAACTTATTTAAATTATTTTCTCTCCTTGTGTTTTCTGGAATATATTTAAGAAAAGTATATCCCATGTAGGTTGGTTTCTTTTCAAAAAACTTTAATCTATGTGGCAGGATAACCTCATTTCTCTTCCTAGTATTATACGAATGAGCTGGGGACTTAAAATTGATAGTTGTACAATTCTTTGCAATGAGAGTAGTTTCAATAATATATTGCCCGTAAACAGTTAAAATATTTAGATTTTTGAAATGTTCTTTTGCTGATGCATCAGGGAGCCTACCAGTAGACCGACAAGATACTTGGTCGTCTGGCCACTAGACCGTCTTTTTTAATTAAATAGATAAATACTGAAAACCAGTATGTCGACAAGTTATTTCATCGTCATTCCAGTTGACCGGCCTGTAAAACTAAATTATTATATACGAGAAACCAACTTGTCGTCAATCGACCCGACCGACTTACCACTTGCTCGTCTTTTAGGTGGGGATAGGGGGCAGAGTGGGAGGAGCTAACCGGGGATTACCCAGGAGTTTGAGGCGCTTCTCATGGTTGAACCACCTCGCTCGAGGCTAGAAGCCAGTATTGCCAACTGAAAGTACTATAGCTCTGTCGAACACTACACACGCGGCGTGTTTATTGTACAGTCTGGCGTTTAGTTGACGTTGGCGCGCAATTCTGATAGTTTCGTCGTTTCTATAGCAACCGTGACGTGACCTCGTTCTCGCACATTCCTCTGCCTTTGTATTATTTAATCTGCATCGAAAGATAAGACTTGCTTATATGCATTGACTATTGAGTCAAATAACAATTTCATTCGGGGTTTTTGATCGTTTGTTTGGATAAAACTACGTACCGTATATTGTAGAATCAAATTTGTAGTGTAGTAATATCAATATGGTACCTGTGTATAAATATGGGTATCATGGAGGTCAATTTACCTCGTGTATATCAACAAAGTTTAATATCTTAAATTAATCCGAACGATTCATAGTAGCCAACAGGCACAAAGTAGTGTATTATGCAAGATTTAAATTTCAAACATGTGCAAGAGTAAAGTAAGAAATATTCGCAAGTTTACTGCAACAGTAGTTCATTAGGATTGTCTATTTAAGAAAGTTATATTACGTGTATAAGCCGTTCATCAAGCGTCATGAGAAAGAAAATCTTTTATAGAAGTGAAAGTGTATATAAAATATCTATAAATAAAATTAGAGTTTTCTCTGTGCATTGTTCAGGATTATGTATTTTTCGGTTATGTTTGAGTTTATACTTTAAAAAGCTTTTAATGTGTTATCTCACTTCCTGTCTGTCTGTTTGTCATGGCCCAGAAGGCATTTTACGTAGTCTTTGCATGTAAAAATGAACAAGAGTTCTTCTCCTGAAATACGAATACGAAATACGATAGGGATTTAAATAGTTTTTTTGTGTTCACTGAATTGGCAAGAGTGTATTTAGCCATTAAAACATGCATCGCTACTTTTGAAATAACCTGACTGATGACGTTCAAAACCCAATTTTGTGGATTTTTGTCAAGTTTTCTCCCCATGTCTACCACATACGTCTTTACCAAATACTAATCATCTGTTTGGAGAATACGACATCTATGAAATAACGAACATCTGTTTGGATGGATTATTTTTTTCTAGCTGTCACTGATATGTGTGATATGTAGATATCCAATATGATATGTGGATATCACATTGGTGGATATCCACCAAGATCCATTGGTGGATATCCACCAAGATCCATTGGTGGATATCCACCAAGATCCATTGGTGGATCTTGCCTCAGATGCCTCTCTCTTTCCTCGATGGTGTATCTTGCCTCAGTTTACCTCCTCTTTCCTCATTGTTGTATCTTAGCCTCTCTCTTTCGTCTTTCCTCGTTGGTGTATCTTGCCTCGGATAGTTCCAGACACCGGGCGCTTGGAGCGCTGAAATAGTTTCTTTCCGTAGTAAGTCAACGTCGTGTCGGCCGCTACGGCGCTACGGCAGTGTGTGAGAGGCTGCTAAAGTGACAGCATGTCGCTCCCATCGATATGTAACACAATGGATCGCGCTAAGTGAGCCAAAACGTGGACGCCCAGACACCATAGTCCGGTCAACCACTCGGGCTGCCGACGTATATCTGTACGTCGTCAGCACGGGTGTGTGGTTTGAACTGGTGTTTTTTGCAATGGTGCTGTTTAGTTTATATTTTTTATAATGAATTGAGTATATACGTGGGACATGCCATGCAAGTGTGTTCTACTTCTACGATCTGTATTTGTCAGAACAGCTAAAACTATAACGAAGTTAGTTTGTTTTTAGTGAATTTACCATATATGGAATATGCTATTACCGTAGTACTCATGGTAAGACCTAGACCCGGGACAGATTTATTATTTTGTTTTGAGGTCCCTAGAGACCAAAAACACCATCCGTTCAAATGCATATGTATATATATGTGTGTGTGTCCGTTAGCGCGATAACTCGAGCAAAAATGATTCGATTTTGGTGAAGTTTTGTACAATTGTGTAAACCTACGTTTATTCGTACGAGTTCGCGATCCAGCATAATCTGACCATGGGAACGGGGGTTTATGGGGGGCTTTATGGGGTAAAAATGGGGTTTTCCATTTTTTTACCCTAAAAACAAAAAAATTTGCAATTTCTTTTCAAACCGTTTTGAAGAGCTTAAAAAATTAATAATTTGGTATATTGAAGCGCTGTTGTATGCCTAACGGTTACGGAGAAAATTTAAAAATAGTATAATTTAAAATTCTTATGTTATTCTTATGGAGAAAATGAAAACTGTTGTAGTTTACTTGTCTATGGGTATATATTGATAAAATTTGGCAAATTAATTATTTCATCCTATACTATTGACATACATGGTCCAAACACACTTTTTACCTTCCCCGTAGCAGCAAACCTAAGCACTCGTTAAATCTAATGATATTTAAATTTTGAATAAATATGTCTTATTTATAGAAATATTTTAGTAAAAATGTAATCAGACAAGTTGAAATTCGCTTAGTGTGCAGGTTTGCTGCGGTGGGGGTATTAAACATATGTGCTGATAAAGAATCGATGTACGGTACACATTGTGTTAGGCCTATATACGTTATATGTTATGTTATGTTATATATATGGTCGCTCTCCGGTTGAATGAATTTGATACTTTCCAAATTTCTTCATTTGGAGTAAAACAAGTAGACTTCTTACCCCATTGTAAATCTTGAAGCTCGTTTTCGTGTCTAGTTCATGTACGGTGACACTGGGCGCTAGTGTCAACAAAATTGTGTTTCTATTATATCTTGATTTGTGCTTTCCTGTTTAGTTATATAAATAGGAGACGAGTTATTGTTTATGATTAGATTGTATT